TGTAAGTGAGTAGTGTAATGTAAGTGAGCAGTGTAAGTGAGCAGTGTAAGTGAGTAGTGTAATGTAAGTGAGCAGTGTAAGTGAGTAGTGTAATGTAAGTGAGCAGTGTAAGTGAGTAGTGTAATGTAAGTGAGCAGTGTAAGTGAGTAGTGTAATGTAAGTGAGCAGTGTAAGTGAGCAGTGTAAGTGAGTAGTGTAATGTAAGTGAGCAGTGTAAGTGAGCAGTGTAAGTGAGTAGTGTAATGTAAGTGAGCAGTGTAATGTAAGTGAGTAATGTAAGAGAGCAGTGTAATGTAAGTGAGCAGTGTAAGTGAGTAATGTGATATAAGTGAGCAGTGTAATGTAAGTAAGCAGTGTAATGTAAGTGAGCAGTGTAAGTAAGCAGTGTAATGTAAGTGAGCAGTGTAAGTAAGCAGTGTAATGTAAGTGAGCAGTGTAAGTAAGCAGTGTAATGTAAGTGAGCAGTGTAAGTAAGCAGTGTAATGTAAGTGAGCAGTGTAAGTAAGCAGTGTAATGTAAGTGAGCAGTGTAAGTAAGCAGTGTAATGTAAGTGAGCAGTGTAAGTAAGCAGTGTAATGTAAGTGAGCAGTGTAAGTAAGCAGTGTAATGTAAGTGAGCAGTGTAAGTAAGCAGTGTAATGTAAGTGAGCAGTGTAAGTAAGCAGTGTAATGTAAGTGAGCAGTGTAAGTAAGCAGTGTAATGTAAGTGAGCAGTGTAAGTAAGCAGTGTAATGTAAGTGAGCAGTGTAAGTAAGCAGTGTAATGTAAGTGAGCAGTGTAAGTGAGTAATGTGATATAAGTGAGCAGTGTAATACAAATGAGCTGTGTAATATAAGTGAGTAATGTTGTAAATGAGCAGTGCAATATAAGTGAGTTGTGTAAATAGTGGTTTATGGGACTTCAGTTATTTCTTATTAAACTGAAATTGAAGTAAAAAGTTTTTTGGAAAACCACATCCTGGCTTCAGTCTTCATTTTCTGCTGAATTGTGTTAACACGCATATAGAAAGGAGAGCAAGAGATTGATTGTTAGAGTCAGTTTATTTTTAATTAATACTATAGTAGTTCAGTTTCCTTTACATCTTTAACTAGCCGTTAATTTATCAATTGAATGGGTGACCTATCCTCATTAATCATGCAAACATTTGCCCCCCGAGAGAATTGGCTGGAGCCCCCACTGATTTTGAAGGTCATTGTGATTAATTTGTCTAGCACAGGTCACATATACTGTTATTAAACCATTTGAATTATAAATGTTTTAGCTATATTTTGATTCAGCATTAACAGTGAAGTGCTACTTATTACAAAACAATATAATCACACCATAGCAACGTTCTCTCATATTTTGCTATTCTAACTGCGCTTATTTCCAACGTTGATATAAGTAGCAGTGGGTGGTAATAGACAAGAAATGTACAGTTTAACACAATCGTGTTGATAAGGTTTCTTTAGTCATTCAGCAATCCTGCAGCCTGAACCACTGTAGTGAAACAACCCTTACATTATGGAGGTTTGTTTGGCAATGATTGTCTACTAAAAGTATGATTTTAAAAATAAAAAGTTAAAAATGTGTTGTATGCCCTGAACAGAGCAAAGATAGTATCAGCTATACTCACAAAGCATCCACAGAGCACAGAGACCGCCGAGAGCAAAAACGAGAGAGAAACCCAGAACAATCAGAAGAACTTTAATCCACTTTGGGGAAGTGACTTCTCGTTCTCGTTCTCCAGTGGAGTTATCTGGGGTCAGAAATTTGATGATAAAAAAAATATGAGAAAATATTTTATCTTTTTCTGAGCTGTTTAATCAGTTCAGCATTGCTGTCTGAAACTATTCCTGAATTTACAGTTCTTTTCTGCAAGATAAAGTTGCCCAACCTGACATTTTCTACATTGTACTCCTGCAGTAACCCAGATATACATCTTGTGACAGCTAGGCCTGTGCAACAACTTTCTATCATGACACATGAAAAAAATAAAATAAATTCAATGCTCATTAAAGGGCTTCACAGCATTTTGAGAACATGGACGCTTATAGACAGGAAGTCAAATGGCAAACTTCACACCAGTTCATACATCATTGTTGCCTTTGCAAATATCTATGTATATTTATGCTTTTGGCAGCTTTACATTTATTTTTGGCAGATGCTTTTATTCAAATCATGTGATACTGCATTCAACATTGTGTTTGAACCAATTCCACAGGTGTTGATAGCACCATGATCTACTGTATCTGTCTAACGTAGACATTTTTCATTTAATTTACAGCATTTGATTCCACTAAAATACATGAACAGATCAAATATAAAGGTCTACCTCAATGCAGGTTAAGATGTTTTGGAGGCATTTGCCAAATGTGCAAAGAACATAAGAAAACCGTATACTGTACCAGTGCTAAATCTTTAAAATAGAAATTGTAATGCTTACTGATAATACTTTTGCCTTACCATTGCATTGAGAAGGTTTTTCATCGGAAGCAATTGTTGAAAGTATGAAACTAGAATTTTCATAGATCGAATCCATTTCATGAGCCTGACAGAAGATGTGCCCGATGAGACTTGAGTGCTGCTGGAGAATAAGGAAGTCATAATAAGGAAGTCACATAATGTGCCATTCTTATACAGATAGGAAGTTGTCGGAGTCTGAATAACAAATCTAGAAACTGTATGTTTGAATATGTGGTGGTCTCTGAAAATAAGGAATAATGAAATGTATTTGTGTTCTCCAAATAGGAAGAATGAGATTGGTGGCAAACGCATCTCGGTGGAGATAAAGTGTCAACTTTGTCTTTAAACAACATATTCAGTGTATTGCTTTATTTCCCCCAACATGAAGAATAAAATTCCAAATTTTCAGCATAATTTTAGGCATCATTATATGTCATGTATGGACAGGAGATTGACACCTCTATATACTGTATATGACACAACACTGCAAAAAGAGATGTGTTAAAAATGACACATTGTGCAGAATTTCAACACGTGGAGAGTGTGCTCAGGGACAACACGTTGTGTCAAATTTAACACAATTTTTGTGTAAAGATGGATCACACATCTACTGTGTAATGTAATTTAACACACAACGTGTCATTTAAACACATTTGTGTGTAACTGAATTATCAGAAACTGCTAATTAATGTGTTATGACAAAAATAATAAGTATTGCCATCAATTTGTAATTCTACACAATTGAAATAAAACAGATGTAAAAATGTTAGCAATTTAATTTGTCAAAAATATTCAGGGTAGAGAACAATGCATGCACAGAGGCACGACAAAATGTTCTAAATCTCAGTTTCATAAATTTAATTTAGATGATTCGATGACACAAATGCACTACAACTATTAGCTACAATACAGTATACATTAAAGTGTTACCAACATCAACTACACCTTGGCTGATTGAAAATCATAGTCAAGACTAGCAGATAACATTTCTCATAACATAAGATGTAACATGTAACATAAAATGTCAGGTACAAGATAAAAATTTCCAAATCAGACAACAAATAAACATTTTAAATTGGTCAATGACAGTTAATTTTATAAATCTATAGTATGTTCGTCATTTTTCTTCATAATACAAAAGCATTTGTAATGCACTAGCTATTAACCACAGTATTCATTAAAAAGTGTTGCCAACATCAGTTACACTTACGGTTAACAGAAACAAGACCAGAGGATAACATTTCTCATAAAACAAGATCAACTTAATCTCATAAGAACGTCAGATACTTTTTGATACATAAATATAAACATTTTAGTTCAGACAAACATTCAGGCACATATTTTGAAATTGTTCTCAATGACAATCAATGTTGTAAATATTGTAAAATTGTAAGTGTGCTAATTGTGAAGTAATACTTCTTGTTACATCCACTAGTTGTATTTGATGAAGAATACATTTGGGCCACAAAAGAGGCACAGTAAGTAGGAATGTCAGTTTTAAAAGGAAGAGAATGTGGCGTTTCAATATTAGATGTCCCAGTCTTAGAAAGTGAAGACAGAACTAATCTGTGGTGGACAGAAGTTTCACACCTAGAATATCTTGTCCACAGCACGTCAGGCCCTCATCCACAGAAATGGTCATTTTGTCAATCGTCGCAATGTATTGTCATGTTGTGCTCTTCAAACTCTCAATGTAGATTGGCTGTGGTCTGGTCTTTGATGCGGTCTCAAAACTGCTGCAGAGGGATGCAATATGGCTCCAGGCTTAGAGTTAAGGGGGAAAAAAAACAAATACATTTCAAGAGTTTAGAAAGCATCAATACAGCATTAAAAGAATAACTGTCCATGTAAAACATACCGGTACAAATGGAAATTGAAGGAATTAAATTTCATATTTAACACTGCAGCGACTTCCAGGCAACGGTGGCAGAAGATATGCCAGAACAACCAGCATTGGGTAGCACTTTTCATCTGAAAAATTAATGAAAACCGATTAGAAATACAATAAATGGTTTAAGTGCAGGATTAAGAGCAGCCCAAGTAGGGTTGTTGTGATAATCACAATATTGCAATACTGACAAGCCAGCTGCACAGGATGGCAAATCATTTTCTTTAAGGCTAAGCCCTTCTCATTTTACACTAAATACATGTGTTTTTAATGTTAAATTAGTTACTTTTTTTCTTTAAGACTTTGTGTACCATTGTGATTATTTACAGCGGATCTGACCATAGATCTGCACTAAAGAAACCTAAACAGTCAGAGATCAACATGTGCAATTACCTGCATCTGTCCTTCTTCAGGTCAAGTCATATATTAATGAATATTTGTTATAATAAATTATACAAAAGAGATGTGTGCAAGTAAAAAGAGTTCACACATACATACCATTTGCTTGGTCTTCCATCCCCTCTATAAGATATGCAAAGTCATTCCTTTCCATGGTAGCTTCAGCTTTCAATTTCTCAATATTTCTATATATATATTTATATAAAAAACAGTGTTACTAACAATATCAGAACTTTTGCATTGTCTGTTAAAATATCTTAAAGGGATATTTCACCCCAAAAATTAAAATGATGTTATGGTTACTGTTGTTGTTACTCCCCCTCATGTTGTTCCAAACCTGTAGGTTTCCACATACTGTACATTATTGTTTCTCCTCTATGCCCCGTCTTTCTGAAACTCGTTGATTTTTACAAAACTCATCGTTCTGAAAAGCGAGGTGTGCGGTTGAACTATCCCTTTTAAGTAACGGAAGAAAATAAGTAAAGACTGAACTGCAATGAGACCTACCACACTTGGCATATTCAAGAAGCATGGGTACTCAAAAGATTGTAGAAGTCCCCTTTGATATACACGACCTATGCCTGATCTTTATCTCCACTGCGGATTTAATAAAAGATACAAAGAATTGATCTCAACAATATACCTTTTAATTAATTTCTAATATCTATCAAAGAGTCAGATGATGTAGTAAACTAAGTTAGTTTATCATGAGTATGTCAGGGTTCTGTCACTTCGGTCTAGTGTAATTCATAGTTTTGTGACAGAGCCCTGACACTTGCGTCATGTCATTGTTTTCTTGTGAGCGTGCGGCTTCGGGTGTGCTCGAGCTGTGCGCTCTCGTCTGCGTGTACGGTTTCATGTTGGAGTGTGGTGTTCAGATCCCGGCACTCATGTCTTGAGTTTCGGTTTCGTGTCGGGGTAGTTTTGTTTATTTTTATCATCAATAAAGCCCATTCTCTGCAGTACGGAGTCCTCGCTCCATCCTCTACCCAAACCCCGACAGAGTAATTTAAAGGCCAACTGACAACAGTCAAGGAATGCAACAACCAAAATGTTCTTTCAGAGTAAACAAACACATTTGGCTGTTTTTGACATTACATATTACTTACAAATCCATCTCCTTTTCCTTTAATCCGACCCTGCAAAGATGTGAAAGTAGTGACAAAAACAAGCTATTCAGCACTTGTTGGGTAAAGTTAACTGAAAACAGAGTATGTACAATATTAAAACACTTATCTGACAGGGCAAACACCACTGAGAAATTCAGTGTGGTCGAATATGTTTTTGAATTTATATACTTACAATTCTCCTTTCTCCACCAAGTGACTGACACAAACTTTGACAAGCAGTCTCCTGGACTTGAAATGATCCTGTGTTCCTCAGGTAACTTAACACTGCTGCTTTGCTTTGAAGTAGAGAGTGCAGGCCTCCCTGTTCATTTGGCACTGGAACATGCTACATTACATAACATGATGGCCGTGAGTTTGACCTTTTAAACGCTATTATGCACATAATAGTCACATATAGCAGAGGGATGAGAACAGAAACAAAATACCTGGATTACCTCTCCAGCATTCGTTTGGTGTAGGGCTCCTGTGCTTGAGGTAATTTGTTTGAAAACATCTGTACAAAACAAGAGAAACCTGTGCTTTTTATTTGTAAAAAGCAGAACACCTAATGTACAGTGCTGTATGTTAGAACAGATTTCCAAACACTGCC